ACCCCCATGATCTCCCAACACCCCCACGATGTCCCACCACCCCTGTGATGTCCTGCCACCACAATGTCCTACCACCCCCACGATCTCCCACCCACTTCATGATGTCCCACCACACCACCGTGATCTCTCCCCACCACCACAATGTCCCACCACCCCCATGATCTCCCACCGCCCCCATGATCTCCACTATCCCCATGATGTCCCATCACACCACCATCATCTCTCCCCACCACAATGTCCCACCACCCCCATGATCTCCCAACACCCCCACGCTGTCCCACCACCCCTATGATGTCCTACCACCACCACAATATCCCACCACCCCCACGATCTCCCACCCACTCCATGAAGTCCCACCACACCACCATGATCTCTCCCCACCACCACAATGTCCCACCACCCCCATGATCTCCCAACACCCCCACGATGTCCCACCACCCCCGTGATGTCCCACCACACCACCATCATCTCTCCCCACCACAATGTCCCAGCACGCCCATGATGCCCTACCACCACCAAGTCCCACCACAGCGTCCCATCCTCTCCATGATGTCCCACCCCCCGCCATGATGTCCTAGCACCACCACAATGCCCCACCACCCCCATGCTCTCCACCACCACAAGGTCCTACCACCCTCATTATCACCACCACCACAACATCCCACCACCACAACATCCCACCACAATGTCCCATCCTCTCCACGATGTCCCACCACACCCACGATCTCCCACCACCCCCATGATCTCCACCACCACCACCACATTTCACCACCACAATGTCCCATTCTCTCCACCACGTCCCACCACCCCCATGACGTCCCACCACCACCACGATGCCCTACCACCACAACGTCCCACCACAACATCCCACCCTCTCCATGATCTCCCACCACCCCCATGGTGACCCACCACCCCCATGACATCCCACCACGCGCTCGAGGTCCCACCTGGGGCTGCAGCACCACCTTGAGCGGCACGGTCAAGCGCTGCGCGGCGCCGGCCACCACCTGCGCGGGCGGCACGGCCACGGCGGGCCCGGCGCCCGGCGCCTGCTGCAGCACCTGGATCTTCTGCGCGTTGGCCGCCGGCTGCACCTGCAGCTGGATGGTGACCACCTTGGCCGCCTGGCCCGCGGCGCCCTTGGCCTGGCCCAGCGCGGCCACCTGGTTGCCCTGCAGGACGATCTTGCCGGGGAGGCTGCCCAGGACCACGTGGCGCTGGCCCGAGGTGGCGGCGGCGGCGGCAGCGCCCGGCGGCTGCTGCAGCACCAGGGTGATGCGCTTGGACTCGCCCTGCGGGGAGGCGGCGCGAGGTGTTCCACCATCCCCACCAACCACTGGAGATGTTCCTCTGTCCCCATTGACCACCGGAGATGTTCCTTTGTTCCCATTGACCACTGGAGATGCTCCACCATCCCCACTGACCACTGGAGATGTTCCTCTGTCCCCATTGACCACCAGAGATGTTCCTCCAGCCCCATCGACCCTCAAGGTCATTACAGATGCTTCTCCATCCCCATTAACCATGGGAAATGTTCCTCCATCCCCACTGACTGTTGGAGATGTTCCACCATCCCCATTGACCTCTGAAACTATGGGAAATGCTCCTCCATTCCCATTGACAACTAGAGATGTTCCTCCACTCCTACTGGTCTCTGAAACTACGGGAGATGCTTCTCCATCCCCATTGACCATTGCAGGTATTCCTCCGTCCCCACTGACCATTAGAGATGCTCCCCCATCCCTATTGAGCTCTGAAACTACGGGAGATGCCCCTTCATCCTTATTGACCCTTAAGGTCATTAGAGACATTCCTCCATCCCCATCGATCCTCAAGATCACTGGAAACGTTCCTGCATCCATATTAACTCCCAAGGTCATTGCAGAGGTTCCTGCATCTCCATTGATGTCTAAACTCATTGATGTCTACACTCCATCCCTACTGACCGTTGGAGATGTTCTACCATCCCCATTGATCACTGGAGATGTTCTTCCACCTCCATTGACCCCTGAAACTACGGGAGATGCTTCTCCACCCCCACTGACCACAGCAGATCCTCCTCCATCCCCACTGACCCCCAACCCTCCCAGATGTTTCCCCACCCCCACATCCTATACACCCCCACATCCTATACACCCCCACACCCCTATATGTCCCCACCCCCTACACA